GCACTAGTAAATAATTAATACCTCAAGATTGAATAAAGACTGTCCAAAATTTAAAAGACTAGATCTCAGCATCATAAGACTCAAAATTCAAATTTTTACTTTTAAAAATAATCATCTAGTAATTTTTAAATGGTTCTCAAAATTTTAGACTAAAATTTTGGTGAACTGGCCAGGTATTTTTAAAAAAATAAAAAAAATTATTTAAAATCCAAAACAATTAAGGGATTTTGTTTGTAATGCATTTTTTAATGATTTTCATCATTTTGGAAATGATTGGAAATTGTTTTGGCCAATAATAATTTTTTACATTTCTTATTTTTAAACATTTCAAAAATACCCCTGGCACAAATCGATTATTTAAAATCTATGTTTTCATTAATTTTTAACTTTATTTGGATGTGCTATGTTTAATCATGCTTTAATATATTTTTCATGTTTTATTAGATTTTTTTGTATTTCGTTTCTATTTTTTTAGTGAAAAGTTTATGTAGAGTCAAGGCTCTAAATAATCAAATTAGAGCCTACCTCAAAAATTTCATTAGAAGAGGTTGTTTTGATGCCCAAATATCTTCAAAGTGATCATCTTAACATCAAGATGAATGGTCATGAGGAAAAAAATGGATTTCATGTTTTTGGAAATAGTACGTTTTTATAACGTATTTTTGAATTGTCAATTTTCGAGATTTTCAAGTTTTCATAGATCTGTCGATCCACAGCATTTTTCAAGCTTTATACTTTATAAATAAATATAAAAATATATTTTAAGGTTATCACAAAGGTTTCCCATATTAAAACCACATTTCTCGACATTATTTGAAGGTAGGCTCTAATTTGATTGTTTAGAGCCCAAGTTCTATACAAACCGCACCTTTTTTTTTTTTAGTAGTTTTTGACCGTCATGGATTTGCCCTATTGGGCCAATTGAAGTCGCCAGTTTACTTGTTAGGCCAATTTAACGCTTCCGGCCTCATGTCCGATTAACCATTCCGGTTCGATTTTTCATACGCCGGTTTTGAGAGAGATTGCCCATTTTCACCGTTGGAGTTCAAATCTTTGTAAGAAAATTTTTTCCACTAGAAATCCTTTTCTTTGTTTTGAGCCCAATTGGTGGAATCAATTTTGGAAAAATCAGGTTTGTACTATATCTTAATAGAGTAATTGTGGATTGATATTTTATACAAATAGTATTTGGCCGTTTTATTTATTTATTTTGAATTTTACCTCTCGATATGATGTCGAAAACATTAGAATACTTATTATTTTATTTTTAAATTTTTTGAATTGTACAAACCAGTCCACCCAACCGTTCATAATAATGTCGGAGAATTGTACTGAAATTGTTTTTTAAAAAAAGTCGGACCGCGCTACTACCAACTATTTCTTCCACTAGTATCAAATTGTGTTCCATATGGTCCGCTGGATCATAAATTATTTGTTTGAAATTTTTTCATCGGTTCCTCGATCCCATGGGGCACTCTCTTTTCCAAAATGGCGAGTCTACTTAAGCTTTTAGACTTTCACAAAATTTTGCAAAATTTCGAAATTTTTCGGGGTACATCGGGGCCTTCGTTACATTATGTGCTTTTTTTTTTTTTATTTAGAAATTTCATACTTTTAAAAAGTAGAAGTGCCGGCCGGTCTAATATTGCCAACATCGGACCAATCCATGGACTTAAAAAATTTAAAAAAGTAAAATAAAACAAAAAATATTCGGATGTTACTAACTTCTTTTAAAAAGACTAAAAAAGAGCTGGTCCTAAAATTCGAGAAAGTTTATTTTGAACTTTGAGTTTGGTCAATAAAATAAATGCAGCCACCCAATTTCGCATCTCATAGTCAAGATTAATTATGACTACCTTGTGCCAAAGGTAAATTGTCTCATTATATACTTTCTCTTTAATCTCTCTCTGTTTAAGCGTGACAACCGTCCCCCAGTCTTTGTTGTAAAGCCTGACTTGATTTCCTTGAGACTTGCGTTACACCAGTGCAGGAAACCCATGACTCAGGCATGGTACCAAGCGTTGAAGCAGGCCTGGCAGAGCAACCCAGATTGGTCTCGGTAATCCTGAGTTGGGTAGGTTTTGGTGAGGTTAAAGAGTGTTATAAGAAAATAAAAAAATTTCAAAAGATATGAAAAATATATTTACAGTAAAATTAAATAAATCACATCTAAATAAAATTAACAAAGTAGTGAAGGAATAGACTTAAAAAATAATAATTTGTGATCATGGATATTTTAGAAATTATCCAATAAAGAAGAAAAAAAAAAATGTAAAAATAAGTATTTATGAGCAAAACACTTCTTCAATCTTTACCAAAATGATAGAGAACATACAAAACATATTACAAAGTAATTTTTTATTTTAAATATTTTTAAAATTTATTTATTTAAGATCCCAGACTTGACCGGACTGCCCGTTCTTGCGAACATTGCATTGCGCTATTTAGAGGGAATTTCTTTGTCCCCGTCTTGACATATTTTGTCAGCATAATTAGAAGCAAAGAACATCTGTCGACAATATAAAAAACAATAATTCAATAAAAATGACTAAAATATCACACAAGATTCAAGGGTATTTTGTATTTGTTTGACGTGTGTGGTTATGAAAAGTATGTAAATACCAAATTTAAACTTAATCCAATTTTTATAAAAATACAAAACTGAAATACCTATATATCCTTAAATAACACGACCTAAGCGTAAAATATGAAATATGAAATAATATTTTTAAACTCTACCAATAAAATGAGATTTTCTAGACGTTTTCCTGACCTTTTTCTTGTTTTCTTATTTGATAAGTTAGCTAGGTTTTAGGCCAACCAGGTTCTTTTCACAGTTCCAAATGTTTCTAAATAATGGGTGACAGACTTTCAAAAGTAGATTAGTATCACTACATTACTCATTCGAGTTGCTTGACTCGTTTTGACTTCTTGACAAGCTCTCGATATGAAAGCAATTTTTTGTCCTCATCATTTCAGTATTTACTTCTACTTCACTGATTACCTTTACTTAAAAGGGAGTCCTCCATAAGTGGGACCTCTAATTGAAGGACTTGGTCTTACATAGCTAAGGCCTAATTTCCTTTAATATTCAATCAAAAGATAAACAACATAGCATACTTTACTATAAATAGGCAATTCCGCAACCCACATGATATGATTTTCCACCAACCATTAAATACAGAGAGAGAGAGAGAGATAGATCACAAAACCAGCTTTCTACTATGGTCCATGAGAGATGATGATCCTTTACAATCTCACATTGATTTCCCTTCCTAATGCATGAAAGTTATAGAATCTTCGTGTAGGCCCAAATTTGTTATAAAATGGGAAGCACATAATATTATTTGCTGAACATTAAAATGATGAAATGTACCATAAAGTTAGAAAGGAAAAAATTATCGAGAAAATGAATGTCTTTGAAGGGGTTGAAGAAGGAAGCTCCGGATGGGGAAAACGGTACCGAATGAGTGGCCTGATCATCCCTAAGTTTACTCCACTTTGAGAAGCCTTAGAAAATAGTGTTCGTTGGGTGTGGGGGGATGGGTTGTGGGATTCTTTTCTCAACTAATTGGGGTTAGCAATATGAATCCTAGTCTACTATTATGCTTTATTAATGGTCATACCCTTAGTGAGGCTATAAGTTCATATATCTTTTTTCACTAGTTCCACTCATGTCTTTGTGAGTGGTCTAGATTCGTTTTTGGAGGGGACCTATTTTGACCATATCTAGGGTTCAAATTGAACCTTTTTTTTTGGGGGCGGGGAATTGATTTTTGGGATGAAGAGAGTGTGTGTGCAAAATTTTGGGTCATACAAATACCACAAACATAGAATTTTAGAAGTGTTGTTGCATAATACTATAACACAACCGTTGCATTAAATAATTGCTCTTACACTTGTCATTAGATAGGACAGTGAATATGTTTTCCATGTAACGTACTCTCCTGATCATTACACATCAATTATATTCACCTGATTCGTGTTTCCTCTCTTCTTGCAATGCAACAAATTCTACTGGTACACATAAGAATATAGTACATATGGAGATGTCACATCACACATAAGAACAAAGAATATAAAGAAATGCCAAATCTTTCAATCAGAGCGAAAAAGATATTTCACCTTGAAATATGGAGATTCAAATATTTCATGTCTGCACCATAGCGTAGCAGATTCTTTTCCTCTCTCGCTCTCTCTATAAAGGTTTCTGTCTCCTCACAAAGAAAGATAGAATTAGGTCTTTTGAATCTCTTGTGGATTTGGGGTAGTTAGGTTTATCCAATTTTATCCAAAATAGAATTGGATCTTTGAATTTTTTTGGGTTTTGGGCAGTTAAAGGTGATCCCAAAAGACATTATTTTTCCAGTTTTAAGGCGTTATGCCGTGTCTTGTCTCTGTCGTGAATGCATAAGAGTTGAGATACATGCTTTTTAGTTTCTTATACTTTTCTAAGATTTTGATAAAACAGACTGCATTTTGGGTTCTTAGTTTCAAAACACGATTCTTTGTCCACATCAATCTTAGAAGTCGAAAAGAACGTTGGATTTTTTAGGTTTTGTGTTTCATAAGATTACGGCTTCCATTCTTCAATTTCGTAGAACAAGTTGGTTTTGCGTTCTTGTTATCAAGTACTTCATCGATGCATTGCTCTCTATCCAATTTGACAGGGGAAAGCTTGGGTTTCTGTGTCATTGAGTTCAGAACTTCTTGAATTTTTCTGTTTCATTTTGATAGAAACTATCGAGTTTAGATTTCTGGAATTTGCTATTTTGTTCATTGCCTGGGAGGAAAAACATTGAGCGAGGCTTTCACATCTTGTAGTTCCATTATATTCTGCTTCATGATCTCCACTCTAATTCAAATTACTTGCATTTGAGCCTTAGTAGCCTTTAATTTCTGTAATTTGCCTTTCCTGCTCTCTCATCAGATGCAAATGCGATAAACTTCCTTTGGGTATTTTTGTTTCTATATCTGGGTTTGTAAAGGTGTAGAAGAGTTTCAAAGGCTCCACCATTAATTTGCTTTAGAAATGGTCCTAGCAAACCTTGTAAAAGTTGTTTTGGGTACAATAGCCTTTTCTGTGTTTTGGGTCCTTGAAGTTTTCCCTGCTGTTCCCTTTCTTCCTATCGGTCGGACAGCTGGGTCCCTCTTAGGAGCCATGCTAATGGTTGTTTTTGGAGTTATAACACCAGCCGAGGCGTATTCAGCTATTGATCTCCCAATCCTTGGTTTTCTCTTTGGAACAATGGTACTTAGTATATATCTCGAGAGGGCCGACATGTTGAAATACTTGGGGAAATTGCTTTCTTGGAAGAGTAAAGGAGGTAGAGACCTTCTCCTTAGAATTTGTTTGGTTTCTACTATATTCAGTGCCTTGTTCACCAATGACACATGCTGTGTAGTTTTAACTGAATTTGTATTGAAGATAGCCCGACAAAATAATCTACCCCCTCAACCATATCTCCTTGCATTGGCCTCTAGTGCAAATATTGGGTCATCAACAACTGCCATTGGGAACCCTCAAAACTTGGTCATAGCGGTTCAGAGCAGCATATCTTTTGGTGATTTCTTTAAAGGGATAATCCCTGCCATGCTCATTGGAATTGTTGTTAATAGCCTCATTCTTTTGGTTATGTTTTGGAAGATTTTATCAATCGAAATGGATGAAGAAGGAACAATTTCAGAAGTTATAACTGAGGAAGAAGTGAAGTATCATCGATTTTCACCAGCTACCGTGTCACATATAACATCTTCAACTTCTCAAGATTTTGATAGGCTGTTGGAGGGTCCCTCTCTTAATACTGAATTGGGTATGGCTGAAAATTTGAGGGATCAAATGGGTGTTAGTGATCCTGAGAGCATGACTAGTAGAATGATTGCTAGTGAGACTGATAATATATACGAAATTCGGAGTATAGTTGAGTCTGAAACCATGGATCAAGTGGGGCGTATTCAAAGAGAAGATAAAGGTTTGTCAAAAATGTCTTCTTGGCCCTCGAGTGTGATTAATGGCTTGAGAGAAATGTGCTCAGATTATTCCACTTCTGATGAGATGGAAGGTTTTCGAGATAGAAGGAAGAAGGTCATTTGGAAGGCTTGTGTTTATCTTGTGACGATTGGGATGCTCGTGGCATTGGTAATGGGTACGAACATGTCATGGACTGCTATCAGTGCTGCTGTAGTCCTTGTGGTTATTGATTTCAAAGATGCTCGACCATATCTTGAGAAGGTATATTTCTCTTCCTTGTACTTAAGTGAATCATCATCATCATCATCATCCAAGTCTTATCCCAACTATTTGTGGTCCGATACACAAATCTTGGTTCACCAATCTACTATATCAGGAGTCACACCAGTAGTATACGATAAGTTACCATACTTTTTGCACTATTTCTATCTATGTCCTTTTTGGCATTCCCCTTGTCCTTTTAGAACTTTGTAATTGAATAAAATTGCACCTCCTAACCCGTGCTACATTAGGCCTTCCCTGTACATTGCCATCCCACATAAGTAATTTGTCATCTTATCATCATTAAAGCCCCACATTTGTTCCCTCGAATGTATTTATTCCGAAGTCTATCTTTTATTTTTTTGCTACTCATCTATCTCAACATTCTCATTTTACTACACTTATCCTATACGTATGTTATTTCTCGACCGTCCGACATTCTGTCCTATAAAGCATGACGCTTTTTTATAGTTGTCCTATAAAACTTTCCCTTCCGTTTCATTAGTATGCTTCGATCACATAAAACTCTGGATGTACATCTCTACTTTGGCCACTCAACTCTAATTGTATGTACAACATGTTCTTTAATCTCTCCATCCTCTTAGATTGTTGATCCAAGATATCAAAAACAATTTTTTTTAGGTATTTTGTAACCATCAATCCTAACTACTTCCTCATATTATTATTAAACTTGCAATCCATATATTCTATTTTAGTTTGGCTAATTTTAAAAACTTTAGATCTTAGATCATCGCTCAAAATATCTAACTTTGCATGGCACCAACTCTAGTCTCAGCAATCAAAACTATGCCATTCACAAAAAAGATACACCATGGTAACTCATCTCTTAGTTGCCTAATAAACTCGTCCATACCCAAAACAAAGAGATATAGACTCATCACTAACCCTTGATGTAGGCCATGATGTAGGCCTATTATCACTAAAAACTCACTTGTCACTTTACTAGTTGTCCTCACACTAGTTAGTGCTCCCTCGTATAAATCTCTCACTATGTCAATATAGCTTCTGAAGACTCTTTTCTTTTCTAACACCCACTAAATTAAATCTCTTAGTACCCTATCGCATGCTTTCTTGAAATCCT